CGGGTAGCGATGTGCGTATGCCGTACGCATAGATTCCACGCCCGGGGATGAGTCTGTCTGCTGCGCGTACCACATTGCGATGCGCTGCTTCAGGTACGGCCGCAGCGTGATGAGGAGCAACGTGATGTACCGCTGCGTGTTGCTGAGCGGACGGAAGCGGAGGTGGCCGTATGAGGCGCCACGCGCGGCTGCCACCTCCGCAGCTGTGAGGTGATCGTAGATGCCGGCGACTGGGGTGCCGCAGAGCGCCTGCTCCTCCGGCGACGGCATGGGCGCGGGGCCGCAGACCCACCACGACAACTTTCCCTGTGAGGCGAGCGGCCGCGTGGGCGACGCAATGACGCCGCGGCGCAGACCGAACATCATCTCTGCAAAGGTCGTGTTGGCGTGGAACAGCAGACGGTGCTCGAGGAGGGTCTGCAGCACCACCCATATCTCGTTCGTCCACGGCAGAACGCTCGCCACGATGTTGCTCCTCTCCGCCAGTAGCAAGTGGGCGAACTGGAAGGCCTTCGACATGGATTTGTTAATGGAGTTCACCAGGTCCACCTCCACGAACGTCGGGAGCGGCGATGCAGTGTTGATCTGTGACAGCAAGTTGCTCTCGAACATGTCTCTTCCGGCGTGGTGAATGATAAAGTCGTGCGAAACGTCCCAGTGAGATACGGTGGCAGCACCGCCTCCCCCCCCTATGCAGAGTTCCAACGTTCTCGCGTCCACGCACAATGCGAAAGCGATCAGGACGCGAAGGAAACAAATATCGACGGAAAGCAAGACAGAGCGGAGAAGAGAAACATGCAGATGGACACACGCACAGCGTTCTCAGGAGGGAACGGTACTTCCACAGAGACGGATTACATGAAGAACAAAGACAAAAAGCAAAGAGAAGAAAAAGAAAAAAAAGCATCACAGAAAAATCTTAGGAACGGAAGGGAAAAGCAGAGGAAACTGAGAAAAGAAGGAAAACCAAAACGGAGCCCTTGCCACATGCCCAACTCCGTTTCTATAGCGCTGTGTGGGGCTGCACATACCTTCCCCGTCCCCCCACCCCAACCGTGCGAGACCAATGAAGACGGAAACGGATCCCAGACATGGGGGCACGCACACACATCTACAGCGACAACACCTCCGTTAACTCCCTTCGCATCGTCAAGCACACACGGCGCACTTCTGTATTCCACTCCTCCAAAATCCGCATGCACTCCTCCTTGCCTGCGCCTCCACACAGGCTTAAAGCGCAGTGCAGTTTCGCCAAGCGGCTCGTCCGCGACGCCACATGCCAGGCGAGCGCGAAGACCTGCTGCGCTTTGTCTGTTCGCCCATCGGTGTCGGTGCAGAGGCACTCCTCCACATTCGGGATTGTCTGAGAAGCGGCAGCAGCAGCAGCAGTGGGCTCTTGGGGAAGCTGCAGCTGCACCTGCTCGTACTCCCTGTGCGCCAGGGCGAGCAGCTGCAGGCACTCTGCCGCAACGCCGCTCAGAAGACCGAAGCGTTGCTTCGCCAGCCCCGCCGCCTCCCTGAGCGTGCAGATAGCGCTGAACTCGTCCCTCTCCTCCACCAACGCCGTCACACCGCGAAGCAGCAGCAGCAACACGTGGTTTGAGACAGTCCATGCACACCGAAGCTGTCGCACATTATTTCCCTCTTTCTCCTCCTCCTCTTCTTCTTTTCCTTCTCCTTCCTCATCTTCCTTCACGGACGCTGCGACCAAGCTCGCCTTTAGGGTTTCCAGCACATCGATGAGCGCCGTGGCGCACCGGTGGCGCTGGTGCACAGTGATTGTTCCAAGCGTGAGCCCCAAACGGTCGAGGTGCAGCGCCGACCCTGTGTGGGCCGTGTGGTACAGTGCGGCGCACTTCATCAGGGTCACGAGCAGAAGCGTCGATGGGGTGCCCGGGTGGGTCACGTGCAGTGCTGCCTTTTCCGCGGCGCGCACATGGGCGTACGGCAGCCCCACATCAAACCCTGCGGTGCTCTCAGCTTCCTCCGTTTCAGTGAACTGCTGCTGCTGCTGCTGCTGTTGTTGTCGTCGTTGCTCGTTCACAAACCCTGTGACGTCCTCACCCTCGCCTACCCCTGGGAGATGACGTAGTGAGAGCATAAGTGCCAGTTGAGAGGCCAACAGGTGATAGTGCACCTGTAGCCCAGCCGTGTGTTTGTTGAACACCGCCATGTAGCGGCGCAGCTGCAGAATCCGCTGCACACCCTCCGCAAGCCACATCTGAGAGAGGGCGTAGCCACTCATCGTCACAAGCGCTGCACACTTCAGTAGCACCAGGAAGCGGATATCCGCGGAAGGGGAGCTGTGGAGCAATTCAGGACGTGCATTAGAGGTGGCCCCACCACATGCTGTCGCCGTGGTCAATTGTGTGAGCTGCGCGTCAATACAGTGCAGCGTGCTGCGGAACAGGTCACGTACCTTAGTACCACTATTGCCAGAGGTGGTGGTGGTGGTGGTGCTGCTGCTGCTGCTGTCGCTATTATTACTTTTTTCCACTTCTCCGTGTGCGTTGTGTGAGGGATGCGCCATTGTTGTTGCCACCGCAGCATGCAAGGCCATATACGTCCTCAAGGCCTCCAGGAATCCGTCTGACAGCCACCGCAAATCCTCGTGCGATGATGTACGCCTTTTCACTGCTTCTCGGCTTCCATCGAATTCCTCTTCGGTTCGCTGCCGCTTCCCTCGCAACTGCTGTTCCCCCCTCGGCAATGCCGGACCCGCCAGAGGCCCGCGGTGCCCTGCAGCCAGCAAGCGTCGCACGCAATACATCTCCGGGACGGCACCAAAAAATACTTCACACTGCTGCATGTGTCGCTCCGCCTCCGCCACGCGATGGTCGAACACCAACGCTGTACAATAATAATATCCCAACACTCGCGCCACTGCACGGATAGAAAATGAATTATCTGGAGACGAAAGACACGCCGAGGAAAACCTCCGCTTTTGTTGTTGTTGTTGTTGTTGCTGCTGCTGCTTTTGACCTTCATGTTCCTGACCTGCAACCACTGGGGCAGTGTAGCTTGCGTAGCTTTTGGCATGGGAAAGCAGACGATGCAGTGCGTGTGCGCGTGCATTATGGAGAGCTGCCGTACTTGTGGTCTCACGGGCCGCCACTGGCGTCGACGTGCTCATGAGTTGCGAATAAAACACCCGACAAAGCTCCATGTTCAATAAGGCCTCGCAACAGCGCCGCTCCTCCTCCTGCTGCACTATCATCTCGCTGTCCGCCTCCATCTTCGCGGCCAATCCAGCGAGCGGTGCCTTGAAAACCGCGACACCCCACTGCTGTGCGGCCTCCAAGTACCTCACCGCCTGTGTGTGGCGCAGCCGCTGCCGGTGTACAATTGCACTCAAGACGTACGCCTTCACAACCAACGCCACAGGAACGACTCGACTGTCCTCCTCCTCCTCCTCCTCTTCTTCACCATCATCATCACCACCACCATTGTTCCAGTCCGCACCCTCTTGCTCTTCTTTTTTCAGCGTCCCGGTGTTAATGTTCGTGTTGTTATTGCTGCAGGCCCACAGCAGCGGGGAGACAACTGCGTTCTCGAAGTAACTGCGAGTAGACAGCATTGAAGACAGGACAGCTTGCACCAGATCGAGCCGCGCCACCGTCGTGGATGATGCCGTGCTGCTTCTGCTTCTGCCGCACCCAGCCCGCTCATCGCCACGCGATGGCCACGCAGAGGCGGGCAGCAGCATCTCTGCAGCTCGCACACGGCACAGTATCTCCTCGCGGCGGTAACACGGCGGGATCGCGGCAGGCACACTGAGGAGTGCGTGCAGCACGGCAAACGCGTGCAGGCGATGGCCGGCCGCGTACAGCTCCTCCGCTACCTCGAAGTGGCGGCGAAGCGTGGGGAGGTCCATCGCCTGGCGTCTTGTCGCTATCGCGTGATGGGCACACGCCTCTTCGCGGGGCGCCATGAACACAGAGACATATAACAACAAAGGGAGCGAAAAAAAGAAAGAGTGAGGAGAAGTGAATGCACACCACACAGAGAGAGAGAGAGAGAGAGAGAGAGAGAGAGACGCACAGAGCAGAGGGGGAGAACGCAGAAAAGACCAAACAAAAAAAAAAATCAGCGCCACCAGAACCACGGTTCGTGAATTCATACGCTGTGATACAAAATTAAACATACTGAGCGAATAAAAAGAAGAATTCGTCTTGAACACGCGGCTTTTGTGAGACACAGGAATCAACGGAAGGNAACATACTGAGCGAATAAAAAGAAGAATTCGTCTTGAACACGCGGCTTTTGTGAGACACAGGAATCAACGGAAGGTATGTGAGTATGCGTGAGAGTGCATGCTATCACTGGGCGAAGGGGAGGACAAAGGAACGGGCGAGCCACACAAAAATAAACAAGCAAACAAACCAAATGAACCAAGAAGCAACGTTTGACAAAAACAACAAACGACAACAACAACAGTGCTTCAAGCGAACAAAAACACCAGGCGAGAGGGAAACCAACCCCATGCAGAGAGGCGCGACACGAGTCACTTGCACACCGCTGCTGGCACCCCGTCACAGTCCCCCCCCCCC